CTCTCAGCCCCGCGATCCATGCCCACCACCCTTCGGCCCTGTGCCGGTACCTGTGCTGGCTGACGACTCCCGGCGCTGCCTGTCCCACTGCAGCGCTGCCTCGGGGTCCTGAAACATGGGGTTCACTGGAGAAGAAGAGGGGGTTAGAGCCATGGGGCCCTCAGCCCGGTCTGTAGGGGGACGGAGCCTCTCCTGGCCTGGCAAAGAATGGCTTTTGGGGAGGGAGTAGGGGAGATCATGCCCCTGCCCACCCGCGCTGGAGGGAATGGGCCTGGCTCTGTGTGTGTATGTGTGCGTGTAGCCATTGATCCTCACCTGTGTTCCTGGCTGTCCTTGCCTGACACGGCCCCGCTGCTGCCATACTTGTGCTGGCCTTGTGGTGTTTTTCTGACGGGTTTTTTTTTCTGCCGGACGTGTTACGCCGGCTCCCCGCACTGCAGGAGTCAGGCCAGGTAAAGCCCTCTTCCGCACCCCCGATGCCAGCTTAGCTACCTCAGTGTACCTCAGTGTTGCTATGCCAGCAAAGCTACATGGCAGAAGCTCCATGGCATAGTCTGGATCCATGTCATGACCAGGGCCACAAGGGAAGTCTGTGGCAGAGGAGGGGGTTGAGCCCAGATCTCTCCCCAGTGCCCCTAAGCACCGGGCCGTGTTCACCATCTCTTGAGCAGCATCCTCCCCCGCTCTTCCAGCGACGCACTCACCATAGGCCCGCACTGTCCGAGACACATCGATCCCCTCCTTCATCCTGAGCACGCAGACTCCGGCCCGGCAGTCGAATGCATCACTGGGAGGGGCAGACCAGGGTTACAGGGACAGCAGCACTGTCAGGGCCCCAAAGGGCCTATAATGCACTTCCCCCATGTCCAAGGGCAGAGCTCCTAGTTCTGTTTCAGGGCAGGGGGCAACTCTCCACATCCCCAAAATAACCCCGATCCACTTAGGGATTCCCTCCGTCGATGCCCCTCACCCGGGCCCAATACCTCTCTCTCCCCCCTGGACACCCCTGCTCTTGCTGCCCAAGGGGCCTTGCTACGAGCTTGCCCCCTCATCTGCCCAACCCCAGCTCCCCTCTCTCCACCTCCCCCACGTCAGCCCTTACTGGATGATGGCCACGTAGCGCTGTAAGTTTTGGGGCGAGTCCGTCTGCCAGTTCTGTTTGTAGCCCAGCACGACTGTGTTTGGCTTGAGACGTCCTAGACCCGAGACCTGGGGAGGAGATGGGGGGGGGGACCATCGGTCAGCTCAGGGTGATGGGGGGAGTAGGACACCGACAGCAGCACGGCACAGGTCTCTGTCCCGCTCCTTCCGGCTGGGGCAGGGCGCTCGCACCTGCATGAGGCTCCGGGCACCGCTGCGCAGGTCCTCTGCCGTGATGACGGCGTAGAAGGAGCGCACCTTGCGTGCGTTCAGCCACTTGATGTGCTCATCCGAGTCATTGACCCCAGGGATGTCCTGTGGCTGGGGACAGGCAAGGGTGGGCATGAGGGGTCAAGTGCCAGGCCCCTGCCCCCTCCCGCACAGCCCCAGCCAGCACCGTACTCACTCCGGCCACATTGCCACAAATCATGAGGCTGACGCCCTTGGTGAAAGCACTAACAAAATCCACCAGCGCTGGGCGGAAGCTGGGGGGGCCTGTCAGCACGAGGCACTGGGGTCTGGAAGAAACAGGGGGCTTAGCAAATCCAGAGATACTACAGGGGCTGCTCACTCTTAACATGCAAGACCCCACTGAAAGCTTCAGATGCAGTCGGTGCCTCAAACACCGCGATGACACGTGCAGGCTCTAGCGGAAGCCTAAACTATGACGGGCTTGCACTGCAGCCATAAGCGATAGCACAAAAAGGGAGCGTCAACCTGTGGGTCCCACCTAGGTGACACTTTCCAAGTCCACGTGGCAACTCATTCAGTTCCAGTAAGAAAAAAGAGTCATTGAAACAAAGAAATGTGATAAAACCAAGCAGGGAACCCCTATTGCAATGCTACGAGAGTAACCTTGAACAAGCCGTGGGCAGGAACGGCCCTCTGTCAGTCTGGGGGCCCACTCCTGAGTCTGCCCAGCTGGTGGGAATCTGCATTATGTTGTGGGGGTAGCGAGGTAGGCACTGACATGTTTGTTCTTGGGCTTTTCAAGAGCGATGATAACAGTTTGGGCTGTACGTTTGTCTCTTGCCTCTTTTCTGCGTTGTGATCATTAAGCAAACCATAACTGTACCTTCCTTTTGTGATTCAAGGGTGAGGCATTAAGGGAATTGTAGCTGTACCTGAATTTTGCGTCTATGCTTGCAAAAGAGATCCTGATCATAGACAGGCTGCAGTCTTGTCTCTAAAGGCTGGAAGGTCCTGGGTTTTTGGTAACACCGCTGTCCACCCAGAGCAGAGAGAGAACCTGGATGTCCTGGCTCTCAGCACCCCCCACCTCTAATCCACCATGCTCGACATGCGGGCTTACCGGAAGTTTTTGACATGGTCTTCTACTTCCGTTAGGTTGACCGAGTAGGAAAGTGCCATGTTGTATGTCCCAGCCTGCACAGAGGAGCCCCAGTTGACAGCTGCGGTGGGATGAGGAAGAGGATGCAGAAGAAAGATCAGGAGGTCCCACACCTACATCTCTCCTTCTAGTGGGAGAGCATGTCTGAAGCAGCGAATGGAAAGGTCTGTATATCCCATAGAGGATTCCTGCAGCCCTGCTGCTCTCATGTCATGCTCCCCCTTGCTCCCTGCTGTGACTGTCAATTCTCTCCTATAACGTCCTACTTCGCTTTCCATATTTCAGACCCACCCAGCAGTGAGAGAGAAAGGGGCTGGGAGGCACCTCCTTACCTGGCTTCTTGTAGCTGACATAGGCCACGCTGACCAGGATGATTCCTACCACAATGAGGGCTGCCCACCAAGTCAGCAGGAACATGATGACCACGGAAATCACAGCACCGAAGAGGGCGCTCCATTTGCTGAAGTAGCGGAAAGTGGGTCGCCAGCCTAGGGTTGGGGGGGCGATGATATGCACTCGCAGGGATTTGTAGCGTGGCACACTCATCGCACACACCCATCCCTGTTCAGCTCCATCCACCTCCTGCAACACTGAGCACTCCCAGCTCACTAGGGCCAGTAGGTTAAAGGCTTTGTCGAGCTTAGCTCCACTCTGCCCTTCCAACCCAGCCCATCCCTTCCAGCCCATTGTATTCAGCCCAGTTCCACTCTACCCAGCCCAGCCCATCCAACTCAGTGTATCCAGCGCTCCAACCCAACTCCACCCTACTCAGTGCAGCCCTCCCCATATCCACCTCAACACCCTCCTATTCAGCACAACCCTTCCACACGTATGTGGTCAAATAACTCTGTCCTCCCCAGCCTAGCCCTTGCAAACCAAACCAGTTCTTCCAATAAAACCCAACACTACCTTGCACAGCCCAGCTCCTTCATCTCATCCCCCTCTACCCTACTTTATCCTCCCTTCCAGCTCCATTCAGCTCCTACTGTACCCGGCCCCGCTGTCCCAATCCAGCTCTACTCCCTCATGCAAACTTACTCCACCCCACGCAGCCAATCCATCTAGCTGAACTTATCCAACCCAAACTGATCCTACCCAGCCCAGTTCTAGCAGAGCAACTCAATTCCTCTAACACAGCCCACTCCACTCTCCCCAAGCCAGCTCCTCTTCTCCACTAACCCCACTCCCCTATGCAGTCTGATCCAACTTAGCTTATTCAAGCCAAAACTGCCCTGTCAAACCCAACCCTTACAAGGCAACATGATTCCTGAGTGAGCCCCATCCTTACACCTCAGACTATCCAACCCATTTCTACTCTACCTAGAGCAGCTCCTCCAACTTGCACCATGCGACCCAGCCCTTCCACATCAGCTTCTCCAACTCAGCCCTTTCAGTAGCTTACCGTACCTGGTGAGTTGGTAATGGTGGCATGGAAGCAACTGAAGTTGATGAGAGCATAAGAGCAGAGGAAGAAGTTGGAGATGATGGGGGCAATGGTGTTCAGCTCAGCTGTGGATGCAATAAAAAGAGATATTAATGTGGTGGCCCACTCCCAGGCTATGTGGCATGGTCTCCTTCTACTTATTCCCAGGGCAGAGTCATGATCCCACTCACCAATTAGGATGAAAGCAATGGCCAGAACAAAAGTCAATGCATAGCCCCGGAACGGCTCGTTGTTTTTGCCATAGCCTTTGGCAAAGAAGCCGATGAAAGGGTAGAGCCTGTCCTGACAGAGGCACTGCAGACAGGAAAGGGCAGGAGTGAGCAGGGCATGCCACAAGAGGAGAGAGCTGGTTTACCGAACGATCCTGGAGGTATGGTAGTGTGTGTGCAGGGGGAGAGCGGAGATGGAAGGGAGGGGCTGGAAGAAAGACATGCATTTGGGCTCTAATGATGCCAGCAAGGGTTAGTGTTTGGCGTGATAGTGGTGTGCTGGCACGTGAGGGGGTTATGGAGGATGTTCAGGTATTAGTGGGGAATTTCTGAGGGTCTGTCTAGGGTACTGCAGTACTCTGGGGTCCATGGATGCGGGGGTGTCCAGATCAGTTGCGACAAAGGTGTTTTGAGGTGTTGTTGGGGTGGGGAGATCTTGGGGATTCTTGTGGTGTCAGCTGGGGATTTAGGACACTGGGATTTCAGTCATAGACGGTGTTGGCAGGGCTGTCGATGACGGCAGGGTGTGATTGCACATGAGTGTGCCAGCAGAGGTATGCACAGTGTGTAGCAGCTGTTGTGATGCTGGGCCCTTCCACTTCCAACGCTCTCCCCAACGCACCTGGAAAACCTTGGGGGCAGAGACGAGGCAGGCTAGGGCTGAGGAGAGGGTGGCAGCAAAGATCCCAGCTGTGATGAGGGGACTGAAGCCGGACACCATACTCATGGTCTGGGGAGAGAAAGGTCCCACTATAAGTCCCAGCTGAGAGAGGCATCCCATCCCAGCCTGCGAGATCCTATAGCCACCTTCTCCCCTGGTTCCCATGGTCTACCATCAACTCCCAATCCCCCCTGCTCAAGGCTGATGGCTTCACCAGGCCCTCCCTCTCAACACCGAGCCCTCCTATAGTCCTTCCTCCACAGATGAGTCCCCACCACAGGCCCTCACCCTCCCTGAGCCCCCCAATCCCCTAGGGAGGTCCTGCCCCGATCCTCCAGAGTACCTGGTAGTTGTTGGCCAGACCATGTTCACAGGTCCCGGTCTGGGTGCATGAGCTGAAGTTCCAGCCGTAGTGGCAGCCCAGGCCCAGGCAGTCACCTGTGGCATTGAGGGAGCCCAGGGTGTCATTCGTGCTTCCAGATGCATCACGCAGGACACAGGAACCTGGAAGGAAATGGGGAAGATGAACCCTCCCAGGCCAGGACGTGCCTCGTGCTAAGCCCCCGGCCCCACTGCTCCCACGGCACAGTGCCCTCTCGTGTCGGCTAGACCCCCTCCTCCGCCCTGTTCCCACCCCACAGCGTCACCTATGGTCGCGGAGACAGCCAGGTAGGAGAGTGTTGTCCAGAAGATGGCTAGCAGGGTTCCTTTGGGGATAGCCACAGCGGGGTCCTGCAAACAGGGACAACAGTCAGGGCTGGGCAGCGATTGTACCCCACGGTGCTGCAGGCCAGTTCTTATACTTGACCCTGGTGGGCCTGGGAGGGGCCTGGCTGCCCACCTTGAGGTCTCCAGAGATGTTGGCCCCAGCCAAGATGCCAGTGGCAGAAGGGAAGAAGATGGAGAACATGCCGAAGAAGCTGCTTGACTCTCCCCGCCAGTCTGGCCCAAGATTTTCCACGAAGATATCCCCTGTGGACAGGGGGAGGCAGAGGGTGAGTCACGCAGCCGGGACGGGGCTGTTGGAGCCAGCATCCAGAGGAGGGACATGCCACTGCTCCTTACCTTTGTAGCTGAAGTAGCCTTTGGACATCTTCTCCTCAGCAGCAGGCAGCAGGGTTCCCACAAAGTAGTTGATAAAGGAGACCATGATGACAAAAAAGAAGACGACTTGGGCCTGCAAGTGGGTATGGAGAAGAGCTGCGAACCCAAGACTCCTGGCTCCCGTCACTACCTGGGCAAACCACGAGGCTCCCCTCCCACAGCCGGCAACGCAACCTAGGAGTGCGGACGCCTAGCCCCCTGCTGCAACTCGCTAGAGCCCAGTCCCCGCCCAGGACCAAGGGCAGGATCCAGGCATCCTGGGCACCCTCATACCTTGGCTTCCCACTCCATGCCAGCCAGCGCAATGCCCATCAGCACAGTCACCGTGATGACTCCCACAATCCGGATATCGTTTAAAGGATCTGTCATCACCACGTCAAACTCCTAGGGGGTCACATAGAGATGGAGATTAGCAGGAAGGAGCCTGGCAGAGGAGTGAGAGGCAAAGGGTCGGGGACTGAGTGTAGGGAAGGAGCCATGGGGCAGAGGAAGAACTGGGATAGCAAAGAAGGGGAGAATTAGAGTTAGAGCTGGGACTAAGGTTCGTGCTAGGATTGAGAAGTCAGCGTTGGATTGAGATTCAAATCAGGATAGGGCCAGAGTTTATGTGATGATAAGGGCTGGGATTAGGGTTAGATCTGGGGCTCCTTCTCCCATGGGAGTTAGATTGAGGGCTCAGGTTAGGATCGGGGTTAGAGCTGGGGTAAAGGTAGGGTAGGTATGGGGCTTGTGTTATGATTATGGTTAGGGCTAGGGCTCGAGTTTGGACTAGAGAAGGGCTAGAAATGGAGTGATGAATGATCTTTGGTTTGGCATTACATTTGGTTAGGATTGGGATTAGGTGTAGTGTCAGCATTAGGATTAGCATCAGGTTTGGAGTGATCATTAGGGTCAGGTGACAGGCTGGTGTGGGGGCTGGAGTGACACTTGGTCACAGAAAGGCTTAGACGTGGGCTAGGGCTGAAATAATAGTTAGGGCTAGGTTTGGAAGGAAGACTAGGGCTAAATTTAGGGTTAGATTTGGACTGATGGTTAGAGCCTGGGTTGGGTTTCAGGTTAGGTCCTGCTTTGAACTGATGGTTAAAGTTAGCATTTGGGTCACGGCATAGTCATGGTTAGGGTTGGAATGATGCTTAGATTTAGGGTTCAGGTTGCAGCAATCGGTAGGGCAGGGCTGGGGTTAAGCTTAGGGTTGCTGCAGTCACTAGTTCTGTGCTTAGGACAAGGTTGTGCTGGGGCCCCTCTTACCAGCAGCAAGTCACGGACGGTCTCGGCAAACCCCACAACATGCATGGCCACAGCCACGGCATTGGCGAAGGAAAAGAGAAGCCCGATAGAGCCTCCCAGCTCAGGACCCAGGCTGCGTGAGATCAGGAAATAGGTGCCCCCTGTGCTTGGACAGACAGAGAGTCAGGCTTGCTCAGCAGGGTGGGATCCAACTCTTGACTTGGTGCAGCTGTAAGGAGAGCCCTAGAGACTGTGTGTGTGTGCGTGCGTGCAT